TACAAATTTCCATGCAAAAAAATGTACCGCTTTCAGCACAAAAAAATCGGAAAGAATCATACCGCCGAGGAGGTTAAACCACTTCAATACTGTGCACTTTCACCCCCTTCCTGCCCAGGCCAATTTTATGAATTATGAATGACAATTGCTCTTTTTTTTTTTTTTTTTTTTTTTAAAAGACAGATAGAGCTTTATTTTGGTGCTATTCACCACTGGGGTTTTTTATTTTTTGCTAAACAAAGGACAAAAAAAAAGACTGCAAAGTTTGAAAAAAAAAAAAAAAAAGAAAAAAAAGAAAACCACACACACCGTTTTCCTAGTTTCAGTTATGAAATTTTGCAATTAAGTAATTTTTCTTCTTCACTGATGTGCGCTGATAGGGCCACTATCGACTAAGCTAGCTATCGACTTTCCTCAGTGACAGCACAGGAAAGGAAATGCCGATAACTGGCATGATTGGACACAGTTAGTCACATGGTAAAGAGCCAATGTCATTGGCTCTTTATCCTGATCGGTGATTCGCTGTGTCTGAGGGACACTTGCCTTGCTGCGCAACCCCGGGGGCCTGAATGCCCAGCAATAATGGAAGAACATCATGTGACATCCTTCCAGAAGAAGCGCAATCCCGCCCACCTGTCATTGTACAATAGGCTGAGCGGGAACCAGGTAACAAGTGTAAGTATCTAAACTTGACCTAATGTCAGCCATTTGCAGTCCCCATATAGTAGAGTTTAGACTGTAATGGGGAGAAGCACGACAAAGAGCCAATCAGTTGTGCTGTAATCAGGGCTGCCGTTAGAAACCACGGGGCCCCATACAGCCGACCTGACAGGGCCCCCTCCAAAAAAAAAAAAAAAAAAAAGTTTCCAATGCTTCAGTTCTGAATGAACACAGTGAGTAACTGGTACCGATCACTCTGTGTTCATTCAGGAAAGAAGGTGGCTGTTAAATGTGACATATTTACCAGACCCATCCCCCACTCTCCATTCTGAAGGATCCTATTGTGTGCTTGCAGCTGCTAGTGGTAAGGAGAGGAGGAAAGCCGGCAGCACTGCTGGGGTGGGGTTACAAAGGGGGGGGGGCCTGGGCAGCAGAGGGAAACATATGGTGCACAGGGAGGGTGATGGGTGCAGCGGGCGGCAGCAATTACTGGAACCGATCCCCTGTATGACGATCTCTGCAGCAGCTGGGGGGGAGAGAAGAATCCAGCTTTCAGCTGCTGCAGGAAGAGCCAGAGGATCGGTTCCAGTAATTCGAGCTGATCTCCCTCCCTCCCCACATCCAATTATCCCAGCTGCCTTGGCCCCCCTGTTGGCCTGTGCCCCATACAGGAGGACTGGTGGTACCCCCTTATCCACGACCCTGGCTGTAATGCTCATGTACTAACAAGGAGGAGAGAGCAACAGAGACAAGAGTTACAGAGAGATTTGTTCATCAGTTTGCCAATTCTTCTGTTAGAGTCTATTTACAGGCTGGGGGGGGGGCAAGACCTGTTAGGTGTCATTTAATCACAACACAGAAAAAAACGGGTCCTCCTTACCCTAGGCAGAGCTGTGCTGTGACTTAATGAATACAGGGTGTGTATATTTCATGACACGATCAAATTGGTAGTCAGGGCCATAGCGCCTCTAAAAACTAGTTCTATTCAGTGCCATCATTTAACCATTTGCCAACTGCCCTACAACAGTTTTTACTGATACAGGGTGGCTGCTCTGTGCAGAATCATGTATATATACACACATGTGATTCTGCACTTCCAAGTGGGGGGGGGTGCACGCGCCTGCGCCGCTTCTGCTGTGACAGTATCGACCAATGGGTGACCGCCGGCACCCACTGATTGGCGATGAGAAACACTGGACGGAGCTCTGCGTATGTAAACAATGCAGAGTTCTGTCCTGTTAGTGGGAATGTGCTGGATTTTGTTTCCCTTTATTTTTTTATTTTTATTAGATATGTTTTATAACAGAAAGTAAAACAAAAATGTTTTTTATTCCAAATTGTCTGTCTCCTTTTTGTTTATAGCGCAAAAAATAAAAAACCCAGTGGGGGGAGCAAATACCACCAAAAGAAAGCTCCATTTGTGGGGGAAAAAAAATGACAGAGTTACGTTATTTACAGCGTTGAATGACCGCACAACTGTCCGTAATGTAACGCAGGGCTGCATATCAAAAGAATGGCCTAGTCACCTGGAGGTCAAGTGGTAAAAATGACACTAAATATCCTAATTCTCCAAAAATAATCCACACCATCCCCTACCACTTAATGGCCCTGTAATCCATTTTTTCCTTAAACGGTTTCTTACTTTTTCTGCCTCCTGGTAATCTCCTCCGAACTTCTGAACCTTCCTTTTCCCCTCTCACTTCTGTTTGGAACAAGCAGTGCACATTATTTGTAGTCATGGGCACTGTTCTATGTACACTACAAATCCCATAGTCCAGCTTGGGATGGAGCAAGGAAACATTGGCCATGTTCCTACATACAGTGGAGCCATGGAGAATGAAATTTGTCCCCCTCTAAGAGCAAGTCGGATCACAGCAGCAAGAAAAAAAAAAAAAAAAGATTTTTTTAAACCAGAGTTTAGCATCACCCACAGTCAGAAGGCCCCAGGAGGCACCTATTTTTAGAAGGAAGATAATTTAAAATCAGGCAAAAGGCATCAATTTGCAGCAGCAGACATCATTTTTGGGGTGTCTGGAACTTCACTTTAAATAAATCATAGGAGTATATTTTAAAAGGAAAAAAAACAAAACTAAAGTTATTTTGCAAAGCAGACGTCCTCATGCCGCTTCATAAAATCAGCACACCAGGGAACTGCAAGCTTGCCGTACAAACATATGAAAGGTCTGACAAGCTGACAATGCACTGTTATCACCACTTCATTTTTTTCTCCCATCACTACCCAAGTCCGGCAACCAACTGAGGCCTGACCTCATTAAATCACGTTCCCTGCAGGCAGAAGGTATAACAGACATGGGAATTAGGAGACGCGGTGAGCGGACTCATTCTGCCATCTACTGGAAACAACATGTAGCTATACAGAAAAAAAAATTATATAAAAAGATTAAATAAAAAAGAAACCTGTCATAAATCTGTATTTAGTGAACAAGTGCTTGTCATTGAAAAGGTACATTTTTTTCTCTAAAATTTTTCTAAAATAAACATGTTATACCTACCTGCTCTGTGTATTGGTATTGCACAGAGGTGCTCCAAAGCTCCTCTTCTGGGGTCCTCCACCAGTGTTCTCGGCTCTTCCTATGCTTATTATGGAGGCATACCTGCAGGCTCATTCCTGAGCCGAGCTGTGTGTCCCCGGTGTTCACACATAGCGCATCTTGCCCCTGCCCCCCCACCTGCTCCCTCCTCACAGGATTTGACTGGCAGCAGCAAGAGCCAATAGGGCAGATTTACTAAAGCTGGTGCAAGCAGAATCTGTTGCAGTTGTGCATTGCAGCCAATCAGCTTCTAACGTCAGCTTGTTCAATTAAACTTTGGCAATAAAACCTGGAAGGCGATTGGTTTCTATGCAGAGATGCACCTGATTTTGCATTCTCCAATTTTAGTAAATCAACCCCAATGACTCTCTGTGTCCTGTGAGGAGAAAAACACAAACTAGAGTCACTGCAGAAGGGCACAGAGCAGGACTGAGATAGGACTCAGACAAGTATATAGTGAGGTGAATGGCGATACAACTACTGACACATTTTTTAAACTTAATTCAGGGAATGTATTAGTGTAAACAAAGTCCAACTTTCATGGTTATTATGGAGCTTGGTCCTTTTTGCAGCTATATATCATAAGCGAAATCTCCTGCGCTCAAGGACCCAGGCGGGTGACGAATAGATGGAACCAGACCTGGAAAGATCGACCACCAATGCATGTAGAGTTGTGCGGCTCCAAATAAGGGTGGGGAAGCCCGACCAATACTGCAAATCGAAACAAAAACGAGAAGCGCACCAACCTTGCGCATTACCTGAGTAACCAAAGTTTATTATAAAATAATACTCACAAACAGCGAATAAAATCAAGCATGTAAGTCCTCAGAGGGACTTGAAAGATAAAGAGATAGCGTGGATCCCATCATGGGGGTGGATACTCAGTACAGCCGACGTGTTTCGAAGGGCATCCCTTCTTTATCAGAGCTATGAAGGTTACTGAGGTAATGCGCAAGGTTGGTGCGCTTCTCGTTTTTGTTTCGATTTGCCTTTTTGCAGCTATACCAGCTGGCACTGGTACTATTCTACACTTCTGTGAGTGTGGAATAGCATGTCCCCGCCTGATGTTGTTCTTCGTGCCGACCCTATATCACTACTCTGTCCTGTGGTGAGTAGGAGTCAGCAGGAGAAAGCATAGTGGCCTGTGGGGGGACCGGCTATTTGACCAGCCCAAGGCGTTGTAAAGGATTAACAATGGCAGCTCTGCTACAGAGCCAAAGTTTCAGCAACAAGCCAACAGATAAGTCAGCATAATGCTGCTTTCTTCACAGCAAACCACCCAACAGGTCTCATTAAGGTTTTCAATGTTGATGTATGCCACCAAGAACAAAAAAAAGAAAGGCCAGTAAGAAGGGAGCGCAGATGAGAGGTATACCAACATACCTGACCTCTCCTCTGTGCAGTGAACACAGAACCAAACTGTGGCAGGGAAACGAAGAGCCATTTCTTTACTCGATCTGCTAAGGCAAAGTGCAGGCGAGATATTAGGGATCTAACAGACTACTGAGGTCTCCCTAATGAGGACCTGTCACTTGCAACATCGATAACATAGGGGGCTTGCCAGCCTCCTGTAATAGCAATACAGGATTTAAAAAGTTGTAAATAATCAAACTTAATAAAATAAGTTTTAAAAATTATAAAAGAAACCTCACTTCTGCACATATGTAAAAGCTGCACACCTAGGATGTACACTATATTGCCAAAAGTATTGGTGCACCCTCCAAATCATGTGATTCAGGTGTTCCAATTCCCTCCATGGCCACAAGTGTATAAAATCATCACCTAGGCATGCAGACTGCTTCTACAAACATTTGTGAAAGAATGGGTCTCTCTCAGGAGCTCAGTGAATTCATGCATGGTCCCGTGATAGGTTGTCACCTGTGCAATAAGTCCATCTGTGACATTTCCTGGCTACTAAATATTCCACGCTCAACTGTTAGTGGGATTATAACAAAGTGGAAGCAACTGGGAACAACAGCAACTCAGCCACCAAGTGATAGGCCAAGTAAAATGACAGAGCGGGGTCAGCGCATGCTGAAGCACACAGTGCACAGAGATCAACAACTGTCTGCAGAGTCAATAGCTAAAGACCTCCAAACTTCATGTGGCCTTCAGATTAGCACAACAACAGTGCGTAGAGAGCTTCATAGAATGGGTTTCCATGGCCGAGCAGCTGCATCCAAGCCTTACATCACCAAGTGCAATGCAAAGCATTGGATGCCGTGGTGTAAAGCATGCCGCCACTGGACTCTAGAGCAGTGGAGACGTGTTCTCTGGAGTGACCAATCACGCTTCTGTGTCTGGTAATTCGATGGACATGTCTGGGTTTGGCAGTCGCCAGGAGAACGGTACTTGCCTGACTGCAAGTGTAAAAGTTTGGTGGAGGGGGGATTATGGTGTGGGGTTGTTTTTCAGGGGTTGGGCTTGGCCCCCTAGTTTCCAGTGAAGGGAACTCTTAAGGCGTCAGTATACCAAGACATTTTGCACTTTTTTGATGCTCTCCAAACTTTGTGGGAAGAGTTTGGGGATGGCCCCTTCCTGTTCCAACATGACTGCACACCAGGGCACAAAGCAAGGTCCATAAAGACATGGATGAGTGAGTTTGGGGTGGAGGAACTTGACTGGCCTGCACAGAGTCCTGACCTCAACCTGACAGAACACCTTTGGGATGAATTAGAGCGGAGACTGCGAGCCAGGCCTCCTCCCCCGACATCAGTGCCTGACCTCACAAATGTGCTTCTAGAAGAATGGTCAAACCTTCTCATAGACACCCTCCTAAACCTTGTGGACGGCCTTCCCAGAAGAGTTGAAGCTGTTATAGTTGCAAAGGGCGGGGCCAACTCAGTATTGAACCCTGCGGACTAACACTGGGATGCCATTAAAGTCCATGTTCATGTAAAGGCAGGCCGACCAATACTTTTGGCAATATATGCAAGTACATAATTATATATAAAATTGTAATGCAGTCTGCTGCCATTCTGCAGATGCATGCAATTTTCAGACCTCTCATATATGGTATCTATTGACTTGACACAAACTCACTGTACATAACTGACAGGACTAAGATCATATATACACTGTACATACACTGACAGGACTGAGATCATGTAGACGCTGTACATACACTGACAGGGACTCACCTGTAAACAAAACAATCAGGTGTAGCTAGTCACCTTTTCAATGGCGCACAAAGACGTTTGACTTTCATCTGTTTTCAACTGTGATCATTTTGATTAGCCCAACGTGAAAAGAGCTTTCCTGGACTATTTCAGTCCCTGGAAGTGCAACTAAAGCAATTAATCAACTATGGGTGGCAAGGCACTGTCAAAAAATCTCCGGGATAAAGTTTTGGATAGGCACAATCAGGAGATGGATACAAAAACATTTTAAAGGCTTTTTGTATGCCTAGAAGCAGAGTGAAGTCTATTATTAAGACATGGAAGGTATTTGGTACAATACAGACCCTCCCTGGATCAGAATGTAGCTCCAGGATGAAACAGACAGGAGGAAACTGGTCAGAGAGGCTACCAAGAGGCCTACAGCAACTCTGAAGCAGTTGCGGGAAATTATGACAGAGCGGTCATTGTGTGTGACAAAAATATCAGAAAATCTTCACAAATGTGGCTTCTATGGGAGGGACTGCAGAAAAAAGCCAGCTCTGGTGAAGAGCAATGTAAGAAGGCACTTCTAAGTGCAGTAGTGCAGTATACAGCAATTTATTGGATAATGTAGTTAAAAACACTCACAAGATAGTGAAGTACAATAGTCTCATCAATTGTCTTTCCTTCCACGGCACCTGTCACTGTGTTCTCCTCACTGTTGCCAACCAGGAAGTGGAAGCGCAGGCCAAGATGGCCACTTTAGAGTCAGAACCACCATGGAATTCATGCCGTGCGTGACGGAATTACATCAGGAGAGAGGCAATGACACAGAATTTTTCATGAAATTATTTCTTACTGTGTTTTTCTGCTTCCTGGTAATATCCTCCATGAGCTCCCAAACCTTTACTTTTCTCCCCTCACTTCTGTTTCTTTGGAATGAGCAGTGCACGTTATTTGCAGTCACGTTATTTACACTACATATCCCATAGTCCATCTCAGGATTGAGCAAGAGAGGGTGGCTACATTCCAACATACAGGGGGGATTGTACCCACCCTCTAACAGGAAGTCAGATCACAGCAGACGGTTACGGTATTTCTAGGAGCCTTTCAGGACAGCACCTGGAGAGAGCGCAGCTCCACCCATAACTCAGGAAACACAGCAACTTAAAAGTCTGCCTCTTCCACCATGCCCTCAGTTATAACCGAGTAACCTCTGACATGCCTGGAAAAACAGAAAAAACAGATACCGTGCCAACCACAGAAATACAGACATAGTATATATATAAAAAAAAAAAAAAAAGGGGAGGGTTAAAGGCTACTGTCCTGAAAGGCTCCTAGAAATACCGTCACCGGTAAGTCTAAGGATTTCTCCCCTCGTCTTTCAGGACAGCACCCAGAGAGGATAACAGAGTAACTTACCCCTAGGGTGGGACCACCGCTTGCAGGACCTTCGTAACGAAAGACTGGTCTGTCATAGCCAACAAATCCACTTTATAATGGCGTATAAATGTGGAAAAAGTGGACCACATAGCCGCTTTGCAAATCTGTTCTGGAAATGCAACAGCCATTTCTGCCCAAGAGGCCGCCACCGATCTTGTAGAGTGTGCTGCAACCCCCTCTGGAGGAACTTTGTCTAATGCCCCATAGGCTTCTTTGATGGCCTGTCTGAGCCATCTGCCCAGAGTACTCTTGGAGGATCTCCCCTTTGCGGTTTCCCGTAAACAGTATAAATAAGAAGTTCGACTTTCTAAACCCCTTGGACACTTCCAAAAATCTCAACAGACATCTTCGCATGTCTAGTGTATGAAACGCCTCTTCCCTTGGATTAGCTGGAGCTGTACACAATGTAGGCAATACTATTTCCTGCGTACGATGAAAGGATGAGGAGATTTTCGGAAGAAAGCCCGGATCCGTTCTAAGGACCACTTGATCCAGAAAAATAACTAAAAAACGTTCGGAGACTGACAGCGCATGGATCTCACTAATCCTTCGAGCTGACGTGATGGCAATTAGAAAAATAGTTTTTAGAACTAAATTTCGTACCGAGGCTTCCTCTAGAGGCTCAAACGGTTTCTTTGTGAGGCCCTGTAAAAAATAAAGACAAATCCAGCCAATTCTGCAAGCCCTTTACATGAATGGCTGAGAGGGAGGCCAAATTCTTTTCAGCCCAAGACAGGATCTCTAGTGCCAGCTCCAGGAATCCCCTGCTCCTTGTGCCCCCCTGCCTTGAAATGTAAGCTACCGCTGTTGTATTGTCCGATAGGACCTGAATGTGCTGCCCTTTCACCCACTGTTGAAGGGAAAGACCTAGCTGGATGGCTTTCAGTTCTTTCTAGCTTGAGGACTTCCTGGCCTCCACTTTGGACCACGGGCCCTGTGCCAACTGATCTCCGAAGTGGGCTCCCCACGCTCATGCACTCGCGTCTGTAGGTGTTTGGCCTTTGGAAAAGGCCATGGCAGCCCCTTCCCTAAATTGGTCAGATCTCGACACTACCAAATGCCATCTTCACCTTTGGAACGATCCTTATAGACGTGTCCAGCAGATCTTGATATGTCCACTTTCACAGGATGTCTTCCTGGAGGGGGCGGGAAAGGAATCTAGCCACTGAACTGCTGGGATGGTGATAGTAAAAACAGTCCCAGAACAGACATGGCCACTCTGACCGACACCAACAGGTTGCACTGAACCTGTCTCAGGGCCGACTGGATCCTTTCTTTATTCTCTTCTGGGAGGAATATCCTTTGTTGAACAGAATCTAGCATATAACCCAGGAACCTTATTCTCTGGGCCGGAATCAAGTTGGACTTTTCCAGATTTAACAGCCACCCCAAGATTCTCAGATGAGCCTGAGTCATCTGAAGATCTAATAGCACCTGCGTCCTGGTTTTTGCAAACACAAGTAGGTCGTCTAAGTATGGCACCACTGAAATCCCTCTCAACCTCACAGACTTTAGTGCTTCTGCCATGACCTTGGAGAAGATGACAGGCCAAAGGGTAATGCCCTGAACTGCAGGTGCCAGATGGACAATCCCAGATTGACTGCCAGTCGGAGTAACTTCTGAAAAGATTGTGCTATCGGAATATGAAAGTAAGCATGCTGTAGATCGATAGTCACCATAAAGCAACCCGGGGATAGCAGCTTCCTCACTGAAAAAAATTGTATAAATTGTATGCGTATAAATCCAACAGCTTGTACTGAATGGACTTGCTCAGTAACTTCAGATTCAAGATTAGATGGAACTTCCCTGAAGGCTTTTGAGCTAAGAAGATGTGCAAGTAGAACCCCCGGCCTTCTTGTTACCTTGGCACCTGAATGATGACCTCCTGCTGCATCAGTTCCTTCAAAAGGGACATCATTGCTGAGGCCATCTCCTGACTCCTTGGGACACTGGTCACACACAAAATCTGGTTGGTGAGGTCCGATAGAACTCCAGGCCGTACCCCTGGGTCATGATATTGCTGACAAAGGCACCTGATGTTGTTTTTTCCCTACAGTAGGGAGAAGGCCCGAAGCCTCCCTCCCACCAGAATAGAGATGTCACTGGCTGTTGGACGGCCGCTCTGGGGGTCTGAAGAGTACCCCCCTTACCCCTGTTTCTCTGGAAACTCCAATTTCTTTTCTGGGTCTGTTCCTTATTTCTTATCCTTATTTTTCAACAGGAAAGCCTTTTTCTTATCCGCCATTCTATCCAGCACCGATTCCAGATCTGTGGTGAAGAGCAGGTCCCCTGAAAGGGAGATTCCGCATAATTTCCCCTTAGAAGCTGAGTTTCCTGACCAGGTCTTGAGCCAGATGGCTCTCCTTGCCAAGTTGACCGACGTTGAAGACCTGGCTGTCATTCTGATAGATTCTGCCGATGCAGAAGGACCGGAAATAACTCCAAAAGCTCCCTCCTTTAGGTCCCTGCCTCGACATGATCCCTCAACTGTTCTAACCAGCACTGTAAATTTCTCATCACTACCATGGAGGCCATAGCCGGCTTGAGGTTGGTCAAGCGAGTCCCATGCTTTTTTTAAGGAGTGAGTCTGCCCTCTTATCCATTGCATCCTTCAGAATGCCCATATCCTCAAAAGCCAAGCCAGTGAACCTTGAAACTTACAAAAAAAGCCACATCCAACCTTGGTTTCTTATTCCACACCAGGGACTCGTCTTCCTTGAAGGGAAACCTTCTTCTTATGGCCCCTTTCTGGATCCTTCCATTCTTTCTTTACGGAGTCTGAGAATACCTGATGGACCGGGAAGACTATGTTTAGCTTTTCCCAGGCCTTGGTACATTTTATTGTGGACTGACAGCCGGACATTCTCCTGGATTTCTAGCGTCGCATAGATTGCTTTCAGCAGGTCGTCCACCTCCTCCAACGATAGTTTGTATCTGAACGAGCTTGCAACCTGCTCCTCAACGTACTCTTACTCCGAATCTGAGGGAAGGAAGGACGCTCTCTCTCTCCATCTGAGTTGCCGATTTCCTTTTGGCCTGAAAAAGGAGGGCTGTGGACTTGACAAGGTGCTCTGTTGCAAAGCCGAGTGAAGCGTCGGCAGTTTATCCAACAAGGATCAGACTGAACCCAAAGTCTCCGACAATCCCTTCTTGACAGAATCAAACATGTCACTGCATTGCTGAGAAGATTTTTCTTTTACTAAATCTACCACACATGCTTTACAAAAGTGGTTTTGGCCATGAATCTCTCAGGGGATTCCTACAAGACACTTCCTTTTAACTGGCGTGACCAGCTTTGTCTTGACCGTGGCCTGAAATCTAGGAAAGTAGCAGAACAGGAAAAAAACACATCAGGCTCCCGTCCCACCGGATCCTCCTCAGCCCACCCTCCTAACCCACAGTGCGAAGGTGCGAGAGAGAGGAGAGGGGGGGAGACTTAGCCCATAATACCCCAAAATCATCCCCCTGAACAGTGGAACAGAGTGAAGTCACTGCTCTGCCACAGCAGCAGGCTTCCCAGGGGAGGCAACAAAAAAAAAACATACTAGAAGAAAAACCAAAAGGAGCCCCACTGTAAGTATAGAAGGTACCACTATACCCCCATTACCTGGGCTAGGCTGGTGCATGATGCGCCTGCTTCCGCCGCCACTGGACCCTCTGTCTCCTCCATCCTGCAGAGAGTGCAGCTTGCTGAGACCTGTGGTCCTTTAAAGTCCCTGCCAGTCTTCAAAGCGCTGGTGACCCGGAAGCAGCTGCCTTCTCCCTTTGCGTTCCAGCAGCCAGAACCAATGCTGCCATGCCCCCGCCGGAAGTCCTGCCCACCAGCACGGTATTCCCTGCCAGCGGACCTTCCAGAACCTCCGAAAGCTGCCTGAAGGCTTCCCATGGCCCGGAACCCCGGGAGACCTGCTCCCTGCGAAGGGAAAAAATGCGGCAGGACTCCCGGCTGGTCATGGCTCCCCTGAGCATAAAAAACGACGAAACACACCCCCCCCCCCTCCCCTCAACTGGAGGAAGGAGCTGGGCTGGTCCTTACAATCCATCTGGGAGGTAAAAGTCCGACGCACTCCCACGCTGGAGACAGCGCAGCCCCCTGCGGCGCTTCCACCATGGCAGAGCAAACACTATAACTGAGGGCATGATGGAAGGGTGGACTTTTAAGTTGCGGTGTTTCCTGTGTTACGGGTAGAGCTGCGCTCTCTCTCCAGGTGCTGTCCTGAAAGGCGAGGGAAAAAAAAAAGGATTTTAGAGAAGGCTGAGAGCAATAGAATTGCCTTTTTTAAATCCAAAGTTCAGTGTCACTTTAACCAAATTGCCAACCGCCCTATAGCGGCTTTACTGCTACAGGACGGCTGCTCTGTGCAGAATCACATATGTACGTGATTCTGCACTTCCTGGTAGGACACGTCACTTCTGCTCTGATTAGAGACAGCAGAAGCCGATCAGCGGGTGCCAGCGGTCATCCATTTGCTGGCACCCGCAAGGTCACACACTGGACGGAGTAAACAATGCAGAGCTCCGTCCTATCAGCAGGGAAGTGCTGGATTTTGTTGCTTGGATTTTGCAGAGAATAAAATCATCACATCCCTTAGTAAAAGCACCTGAAAGTACACACAAAAACACTGGTTAGGCAAACAATTAACCCTTTGATCACCCTAGATGTTTACCCCTTCCTAGCCACTGTCATTAGTACAGTGAATATTTTTAACACTGATCATTGTATTAGTGTCACTGGTTCCTACAAAGTATCAGATTGTCCACCACAATATCGCAGTGCCACTGATCGCCACCTCTACTAGTAAAAAAATAATTAATTAAATAATTCCAGTATATATACTAGAGTTTGTAGGGGATATAACTTTTGAGCAAACCAATCAATATAAACTTATTGGGATTTCTTTTCACCTTTTTCATCCTTTTTTTTTCCCACAACTTGAGCTTTTTTTTTTTTTTGGTGGTATTTGATCACCTGTGCGGTTTTTATGTTTTTTTTGCGCTATAAAAAAAAAGACCGACAATTTTGAGAAAGAAAACAATATTTTTGACTTTTTGCTATTAAACATATGCAGAAAAAAAAAAAATCAAATTTCGTCAAATTTAGGCCAAAATGTAATCTGCTACATGTCTTTGCTAAAAACCAAATCTTAACACGTGTAAATGTACGTTAGGTTTACGTGAACGTTATAGTGTTTACAAATGGTGGTATATATACACACTGGAATTTTTTTTATTATTTTTACTAGTAATGGCAGCGATCAATGACTTACAGCGGGACTGTGGCGAACATTCTGACACTGGTGGGAACTGACTTTGCACTGACATCCCCAGTGACACCAATACAGTGATCAGTGCTAAAAAAAAAAAAAAAAAAAAAAAAAAGCACTGACACTGTACTAATGGCAATGGGCAGGAAGGGGTTAACATGAGGTGCGACCAAAGGGTTAACTGTGTGCATCCAGAGCAGTGTGCCTGAGCCGACAGGGGGGAGAACTGTTCGTAAACAAAACAGTTCTCCTCCCAATCAAAGATCTTCAGAAATCACCGGGTGTTGGCAAGTAATTACCGGCCAGGACTCGGTGATTTACAGCCATGGCCGCAAATGGCAGCGCAGATAGTGCACACGCACGTCCCCCTACCCAAAAATGCAAAATCATGTATATATACACTTGATTTTGCACACCCGTGCCGCCCTCTAGCAGTATTTCTGCTTATAGGGTGGTTGGGAAGTTGCTAAAATAGCGCAGTGTCTTATAGCAAAAACTGGCCTGGACATGGAGGGGAGTAAATCTTCTGAAGGTCAAGTGGTTAAGTTCCTCTTCGAAGGATAAGTTTCAAAGGCAGTGGACAAAGGTATACATGCCATGGCAACTGCATGCGATGCACACAGTTGTGGCACACTGGTGCAGCATTTACAGCATAGAACTTTAGGCAAAACTTTTTTTTCTCATTTTGGATAGAGCAAGGGAGGGCTATAACCACTGGCAAATTTTTTTTCCGTCCATCTGTTCCCAATTGGGGAGATTTGCCTTCACTTCTTGTTCCATAAACAAAACAGAGAAGTGAGTCGAAATCCCTCCAATCCTGCGGTGTCCTCAGGGCAGGCTCAGACTGGCCATAGGGCACTCCGGGCATATGCCCAGTGGGCCAGGTCTCATATGAAGAATGGCCTGTTGATGACTGGGCCGCACAGAGGGAGGTAAGCGGTGGCCGCAGTCTGGACAGGGTTAGTACAGACCGCAGTTGCCGCTTTCCTCCTGCTATGTGACCACACCTACAGCAGGGCTGGCGCCAGAAAACTGGGAGGTGCAGAAGAGGACACCTACTTCCCAGGCCAGCCGTTGGAAATACACTGCACGAGACAACGGCGGGCTCTCTCTTAACCATGACAGCTGCACAGGGAAGGAAGGTGAGCGCAGTGTGTTACAGCCACACATCCCGCTCTGTAGCGGTGTGCGTGTGTGTGGTGGATTGGGCTGTCTCTCTGCTATATGGGGATGTCCCTTTGCTGAAGGTAGGACTGTGTAGGAGAGGCAGAGAGTAAAAGGGGGCACTCTGATTAGAGAAAAAAGGGGGGACATAACTGCAAGGAGCACTGTGATTGCTAGGGGGTCTTCACTGTAATCAATACAGTGCCATTTTACAGTGCAGCCCTCTTATATCACAGTGCCTCTTTACATTACATTGGAGGACCAACTCCGTGAATATCCAGTCACCAACCGCACCCACAAACACCCATACCATTCTTACGCCCCCCCACAGTCCCTTGGCTGCTCAGTTTAACCACCTCCCGCCCGCCAAATAGTCCAATGACGGGCGCAAAGTGGTTCTCTCGTTCTGGGAGGACGTCCTATGACGTCCTCCCATTCTCAGCGCGGCAATCGGCAGTGTGCTGTGTTCCTCGGACACAGCGGATCACCGATCTACGGAAAGAGCCGAAGATGTCGGCTCGGTCATGTGATCAGCTGAGTCCAATCATAGCTGATCACATGTAAACAGGGAAATGCCGGTTATCGGCATTTCTCTCCTCTCGAGCTGTCACGCTCAGAGCTCGAGAGGAGAGCCGGTAATGGCAGTCCGCGGAGGGGACATGTACACTGATCATCAGGGCACTGATGATCAGTGTGCCCTGATGATCAGTGTGGCCCCAGAAGTGCCATATATCAGTGTGTCCATCAGTGCCAGCTGCCAGTGCTGAACAGTGCCACATCAATGCCACATATCAGTGCCTACCAGTGCACATCAATGCCACATATCAGTGCCCATCTGAGCTGCCTTTCATTACCGCCCATCAGTGCCAGTCAGTGCCGCCCATCAGTGCCATATATCAGTGCCGCCCATCAGTGCCACCCATCAGTGCTGCCTTTCAGTGCCCATCAGTGATGCGTGTCAATGCCCATCAGTGCCACCTACCAGTGCCTCCTCATCAGTGCCACCTATCAGTGTCCATCAGTGCAGCCTATCAGTGCATATCAGTGAAGGAGAAAAATCACTTATATTTACAAAATTTTATAACAAAAACTAAGAAAAAACTTTTTTTTTTCAAAATTTTCAGGAGTTTTTGGTTTAAGAAAAAATAAAAAACCCTGAGGTGATTAAATATCACCAAAATAAAGCTGTCACAAAAAAAATGCTAAAAATGTCATATGGGTACAGTGTTGCATGACCACGCAACTATCATTCAATGTGCAACAGAGCTGAAAGCTGGAAATTGGCCTGGGCAGGAAGGGGGTATAAGTGCCCTGTAGGCAAGGGGTTAAATCCCTGCGGTTTTCTCTCCTCTCTGTGCAGGGATGACAGTACTGGCTACATGTTCACAGTGCTGACCATTCAGGAAAAATATATATATCTAAAAACAGAAAAAAAAATTAAAGTGATTGCAAACCCTTCCATATATCCAGTGAAGTGATTGGCCTCAGGTGATGCAGAGATTAAACAAATCCTCCTACATAAGTTGTACCTGTATATCTGCAGTCTCCTTTTATCTACAGTCTCCTTTTATCTACATCCATTCAAAGTTCTGAAATTTATAAAGCTTGTTTGAAAGTTCAGAAAACAGGTGGTGGAGAGCTGAAGTTACTCTCTGCAGAGCTCAGTGGGGAGAGCTCTGAGAGCTTATTTTAGGAAAGAGAAACACCCACTTCACACAACACACAGGAACAGAGCTAAGGCAGCAGACAGAAATGACACTTAGTGCTCTGGATTGAGACAAGTACACACTATAGAGGGACATGCTTTGTTCGTATTTCATGTCTGAGGTTTACAACCACTTTGTCATTTATATTTTTTAAAAAAATGATATACAGTGCCTTGATTCATATTTATACCCCTTGAAATTTTCCACATTTTGTCATGTTATAACCAAAAACGTAAATGTATTTTATTGCGATTTTATGTGACCGACCAACACAAAGTGGCACATAATTTTGAAGTGGAAGGAAAATGATAAAAATTGTTTAAACATTTTTTTACAACTGAATATCTGAAAAGTGTGGCGTGCATTTGTATTCAGCCCCCTTTACTCTGATACCCCTAACTAAAATCTAGTGGAATCAATTGCCTTCAGAAGTCACCTAACTAGTACACAGAGTCCATCTGTGTGTAATTTCATCTCAGTGTAAATACAGCTGTTCTGTGAAGCCCTCAGGAAGTGTGTTAAGAGAACATAAGTGAACAAACGGCATCATGAAGGCCGAGGAATACAGCAGACAGGTCAGGGATAAAGTTGTGGAAAAGTTTAAAGCGGGTTTGGTTATAAAAAAAATATCCCGAGCTTTGAACATCTCATGGAGCACTGTCCAATCCATCATCCGAAAATGGAAAGAGTATGGCACAACTGCAAACCTACCAAGACATGGCCGTCCACCTAAACTGACAGGCTGGGCAAGGAGGACATTAATCAGAGAAGCAGCCAAGAGGCCCATGGGAACTGGAGGAGCTGCAGAGATCCACAACTCAGGTGGGAGAATCTGTCCACAGACAACTATTAGTCGTGAACTTCACAAATCTGACCTTTATGGAAGAGTGTCAAGAAGAAAGCCATTGTTGAAAGCCACAAGAAGTCCCGTTTGTGAGAAGCCATGTGGGGGACCCAGCAAACAAGTGGAAGAAGGTGCTCTGGTCAGAGGAGACCAAAATTGAACCTTTTGGCCTAAAAGCTAGCGGCGCACCGAAATGAAAATTCAAAATGCACTTGGCTGGAAACCGAAAAGCGCAGTTTTAAAAATTCATATATATTTTTTGGGAAAAAAAACATGGACTAAAAAAAAACCAAACAAAAAAAACAAACATATAACCCAATTTTTTTATAAAATATGAAAGAGGATGTTACGGCAAGTAAATAGATACCAAACATCACACTTTGAAATTGCGCACGCTGGTGGAATGGCGTGAAACTGTGGTACTTAAAAACCTCCATGGGTGATGCTTTAAAAATTTCTACAGGTTAGTAGTGTAAAGTTACAGAGGAGGTCTAGTGTGAGAATTATTGCTCTTGCTCTGACGTTTGTGGCGATATACCTCACGTGTGTGTTTTGAACACCATTTACGTATGTGGGCATGGCCTACATATGCGTTCACCACTACGTGGCGAGCACGGGGGGCACTTTAAATTTTTTTTAAAAATGTATATGTTTTTTTTTGCACTGTCCCTTTAAAAAAAAATGTAATCGCTTTTATTAAAAACAATGGAGAACCACCTGCGCTACCCTGAATAAACGAATGTCCTAGGAATGGGTTGCCACTGACACCTGGCTATACACCTGGATAGAATACGGATCAAAAATGTAACAAAAATGGTGCTGCACTCCCACACTTATTTTGTACAAATTATAAAATTAAAGTGAAATTTCAAATAAACCCCTAATGTTCCTGATCAAGTCACGTGATTAGTGATGCAACGCGTCAGAAGAGAAACGGAGACATGGTGACATCACTTCCGGCGCAATCGCCTTTTTGATACATTCATAGGAATACACCCGGGAGTTCCTATGAGGATCTGTGAGCAATTTTTTTAATTAACACGTGAGTGAGCGTTTATAGTATTTTAATACACTAATAAATGAAACAAAATCACACGATGGAAGGAAGGATTCTTCTTGTTTTACAAACACCGATGAGGAAGCCAAGTTGCAATTAGATCATACGAAAACCACCCGGATATCAGGATCCTTGATACTTGTAAGTTCTGAAGGGGGATACCACCACTGTTTGTGATACCGAATTTGACGTGAAGGATTGAGCGGTTGGCTGCTCTTAATAGCACAAACGCGTTTTGACCCTGTGGGGTGGCTTCATGAAGGGGAGGGGACAATCTTACCAGAGAAGGATCCCACCTTTTTTTCACCTGCCATATTTATGTTTATTGCTGGAGTTTTCTAAATCCAGCCATATTGAAGATTACACACGTGGACGATTATTTTTGTTTATTTATAACTGGTGGCACGTGTTTTGTGGACTTTTTTTTACAAATTGATTCAAATTACAGTCAGGTCCATAAATATTAGGACATGGACACAATTTTAAACATTTTTGGCTCTATGCACCACCACAATGGATTTGAAATGAAACGAACAAGATGTGCTTTTAACTGCAGACTGTCAGCTTTAATTTGAGGGTATTTACATCCAAATCAGGTGAACGGGTGTAGGAATTACAACAGTTTGCATATGTGCCTCCCACTTGTTAAGGGACCAAAAGTAATGGGACAGAAGAATAATCATAAATCAAACTTTCACTTTTTAATACTTGGTTACAAATCCTTTGCAGTCAATTACAGCCTGAAGTCTGGAACGCATAGACATCACCAGACGCTGGGTTTCATCCCTGGTGATGCTCTGCCAGGCCTCTACTGCAACTGTCTTCAGTTCCTGCTTGTTCTTGGGGCATTTTCCCTTCAGTTTTGTCTTCAGCAAGTGAAAATGCTCAATCGGATTCAGGTCAGGTGATTGACTTGGCCATTGCATAACATTCCACTTCTTTCCCTTAAACTCTTTGGTTGCTTGGTTGACCTGAATCCAATGGAGAATCTTCGGCAAGACCTGAAAATTGCTGTTCCCAGACGCTCTCCATCCATCTGACAGAGCTTGAGCTATTCTGCAAAGAAGAATGGGCAGAAATGTCCCTCTAGATGTGCAAAGCTGGGAGAGACGTCCCCAAAAAGACTTGCAGCTGTAATTGCAGCCAAAGGGGGTCCTACAAAGTACTGACTCCGGGGGGCTGAATACAAATGCTGCCACACTTTTCACATAATTTGTAAAAAAATTTTGGAAACCATTTCTCATTTTGCTTCCACTTCACAATTATGTGCCACTTTGTGTTGGTCTATTCACATCAAATCCCAATAAAATACATTGAAGTTTTTGGTTGTAACATGACATGGGGAACATTCCAAGGGGTATGAATACTTTATCAAGGCACTGTACATATAGGATAGCCAACAATCCCATCACCCCCCTGGACGGGATATGGAGACAGTAAGAGAGCGCCCCTGGCTGGGTGAACACACACATGACACTCTCTCGGCTCCTCACACACCACCTGAGGTATTCTGGTCACACTGGGACTTGTAGTCCCACACAAGCCATGTCCAGCCACACCTCCCTCCCCCCATAATATCACCCTGTCCCCTCCCTCTCACCCCATCTCCTCTCCGCGGTGTGAAGAATCCTCAGTCCGCCCTCCTGTGTCCGACTCCGCACGGCCCCCACCAATGACCTGACCAGCCTCCTGCAGCCGAGTCTCAAGGAGGCCGCCATCTTCCCTCCCCGCCCGCAGGACCCTGACCGGAGCTGCCCCGCCTACTTCCTGAACAGATTTATCCCACCACAAGGGCTGTCCGGAGCTGTGCAACTAAAAACAGCGTCACCTCACCACACACTAACACTCACTATCACACCCAATGTGTCATAAAAACAGTCTTTATCGCCTTAGCTAAAATACTAAATATAGGCGGTACAGCCCTGTGAGGAAGAAGAATAGCTTCACTGAGGCACTACAAGTCCCAGGAGACATGACCAAGAACTCGCTGGGCTTTGTAGTTCCAACAGCTGAGTGGTACAGATTGACTACGGGTGACATCGGCTGCCATTTTTTTGGAGACCACTTCTAAGTTTTTGAAGATGAAGTCACCGCAAAGATGGCGGCCAAAGTGGAGACAATTTTATACAACTACTACAATGGTTGAATACTATCTCTGGGATGAAATTGGCAATGACACATAATCAGGCTGTCTAGCTATCTACAGTTGTGCTCACAAATTTGCATCCTGACATTTTGGCATTGTTACTGAAAATATGACTGATCGCGCCAAAAATATTTACAGCACGGTCGGCAGGTTTTTGGAGGGCACCTATGGACATCATCCCAGAACCACACCTGGGGCGTGCACTGTGATCCCGCACAGCTGGTCACGTGTCTAGGTAAAGGGCCAAT